GCATGGAGCACTGGGTGTTATGCACAAACAATGAATCATGGAACACTACATCTAAAACTAATGATGTAATGTATGGGGATTAACATAAGAATAAAAAAATTTTAAAAAAACCACTCATGTGTCTCGAATTTTAGTTCCCTGTAAAATGTTATTTTATGAAAAAACTGTGAAGTTGGAAATCATTCTGAGGTGCAAAGCAGGTTTTATAGACACCAGTGTTCTTCTTTTTTATTTTTTTGGTCCAGTATGTTTTCCACCTAATACCAGTGGTGCTGATACAAGGGAGTCCACATGCTTCTTTCATTCCCCTGATCTAGAAGTTCGAATCTGAGTAAGGGAGAAAATGGAGATAGCCCGAAAGAAATGCTAATTAAAGCAGAGATCACTCTTTTTTAAAATTAAAAAAAAAATTTTAAAAAAAGATTTATTTATTTATTTGAGAGAGAGAGAGTATGAGTGATTGGGGCGGAAGGAGAGGGATAGCGAGAATCTCAAGCAGACTCCTGCACTGAGCGCAGAGCCTGATGTGGGGCTCGATCTCACAACACTGAGATCATGACCAGAGCTGAAACCAAGAGTCTGACACTTAACCAACAGTGCCACCTGGGCACCCCCCTACTTGGATTTATAACAAGCTTCTCCTACTGGAAGCCCCCGACTCTAGCACTGCCAAGTCAGCTGCCAGAGTCAGGGAGGGTTTTTAGGGAGCAAATGTAGATCTGGCTGAGGGGTTCCCTTTTGCTCCTTTAGGCAGGTGTGTTAACAAGACACATCTTGGCAGGCAAAATCATCATTGCTGGCAGGACATCTGCTCAACAGCGGGGCCTGGCACCTCCTATTCGCCATCTCCTTCATCCCTGGTCACAGTGGCCTTGGTGCACTTTGTTCTTACCCTGCTCAGCCAAAGCTGCCCCAGGATGGGCTCTGGTGGCCGTGCTGGCAGGAGGGAGTGGCTGGTGAGAGAGAAGCAGATCCTCCTCCCCCCTGCGGGGCTCCTTGAGGCACCACTCAAAGTAAGGGTCACCATGGCTTGCCTGGGTTATGGCACCTGCCTCCTACCAGGCTCCCGCACTTTCTTCTGGCTTCCCTTCTGTCCTCTACACCTCCGCCTGAGGGATCTTTCTAAAACTGCTAAACTAAGTCACATTAAAAAAAAAATTACAGCTCAAAATCGACTTCAGAGCAGGGCGCCTGGGCTGGCTCTGTCTGTACAGCATGTGGCTCTTGATCTCAGGGTCGTGAGTTCAAGCCCCATGTTGGATGTGGAGATTACTTAAAAAAAAAAACCTTTAAAAAAAATTACAATTCAGTTCCTCAGTCACAGGCTACATTCAGAATGCTCAACAGCCACGTGTGGTTAGTGGCTCCCATGTTGGCCATCACAGACACAGAACATTTCCATCTGTGTAGAAAGTTCTGTTGCAGGGCAGTGGTCCAAAATACACATTTGAGGCTGTCACCCACCCACTCGAATCTCTTCGGAGGCTCCCTATTCTCTTTGGGGAAAGTCAGTCCCTGTCCCCCACCCCACGGCCAGCTCCCCCAACAAGGTGCTCTTGCTCTGCCACATCACCCACCGAGGCTCTCTCTGGCCCATCTCTTGTCTGCCCTGCACCAATCCTCTCTGCTCAGCCTCTGCCTGGGACACCTCTTCTCTCAGGGATTTCATTCATTTATTCTGTTAGAAGACATTTTTTGAGCGCCAACTATGTGCCAGACACTCTCCAGCAGAGAACAAGAGGAAAGGCTCTTGCTTTCAGGGAGCTTTCAATCTAGTGGGAAACACACACACACACAAATATGGAATTCCATACTTGGATGTGTTATAAAGGAAAACACCAGATGCTTGGAGAGAAAAATAAAGAGAGGGGCACTCATTTAGCTGTTTGAGGAGATGACCTTTAAATGGAGACGTGCGCAATGAGGAACCAGTTAGGTAACATGTGAGAGGAAAAGCATTCCGGGCAGAGGGAAGGGAATGTGCAAGCCCTCCCTGGAAAAGTCCTTCAAGCTCATTAATGGCCGGGAGCTGCGTCTTAACCATTATTGTTTTTGCTTTCTGAGTCCGAAACACAGAGTTTGGCCCACAGCAGTGTTCTATTAATATCTGCTAAATAGAGCCAACTGCTTCCCTTTGCCCTCTTCCTTAATTACTCCCAGTTCCTCCTCGATCCACCCCTTCTCCCCCTGCCTACCATGCCCACTTGGCTTACGAGATATATTTTTCTGATTTGTTAAATTTCTTCTCCAGGTACTTGGCTGACGTCTTGCTGGGGATCTTCACCATGGAGAGCTCTTTGTTGTAGCGGGTCAGGTTGCAGGGTGTCCTGCAGAGACAGTAATTACTGTCCTTCTCCGCCAGCAGACCTGGAGGGGAGACAGGGGCGGGGCTTAGTCAGGTGTGGGGGCGGGGCCCCTGGGTTCCAGGGGCGGGGCATGATCTGGGAGAGGGTGCCTTCCCCCAGGGGCAGTGACGGGTGGAGCACTGCAGAGAGAAGGGGAACTGGGCGTTGGCACTAGGTTGGTAAGGGTGGGAGCTCTCATAAAATGGTGCCCACTCTTTCTAGGTTTCTCTTTGTCCTGTTCTCCTTTGACTTCCTTTATTGTTATGTTGCCCTTTAAAAATTGTTGAAAAGGCACCACTTTGGAGAACAGGCTTCCAGGGAGTCCTGGCGCCCTCAGCTTCCCAGAGCCTTCTTCTCTGCTCCTAGCCTCGGTGTTCTCATCCACAAAGTGGGTCTCCCATCAAGGGCAAACGTGGGAGACCATTTTATCTGAAACCCAGGGCTCCGTGGTATTCCCTCTGTGGCTCTTCCCTAACCAGAGCCTGCCTCTTCTGTCTGCTGGGTTAGGGCACAAGCAAAGATCCCCAATTCCTGTCCCTAGAAGCAACCTCCCTGCATCTGGAACGTTTCTTTCCTTCAAGCTCCTCTTAGGACAGGGTGGCTAAAGACATACTTCTCTCCCTCCGTCTCTCTGAGCATCGCAATGTTACCCACGGGCTTTGTTGATTCTGTACTCCAAAGAGAGATGTCTTTGTATACGTCAGAAGTCTCTCACTCTCTCTAAGCCCCGCCTCCCCCCCACCAGTCCTTCTGGAAGCATCTGGACGCAGGAGTCCAGAGCTGTCCTGGCTTAGCTCCAGCAAGTGCAGCTGCTGAATGAAATTGAGTCCAAATGATTTAAACACTTTTTCTGCTTGTCTTGATTATAAATCACTTCCCAGGTCCGGAGAGAGGCAGGCATGTGGAGTGGGTCTAGCTTTGGGGTTCTAGCTTGTTTGTGGGATCTCCCGCACCCGGAAGTTTTCCAGTGGGGGAATCCAGCAGTTATTCCAAACTGCAAGCACCCAGCAGGAGGAGGACGAGGGGGAAATACACGCCGGCCGCCCCTCCTTCTCTCCCCCATCTCCTTCGGTGTCCACCTGGTTGTCCACTGTCCATCCTCTCTCCATCTCTGTCCGCTCCGCTGTGTTCCCCAGTGCTCTCCATTTCCCTCAAACCCCAACCCATCTCTACCGGTACCTCTCTACTGCCATTCTCTCCCCCAGTGCTTGGTCAGCCCTCAACCGCCCGCCTGCATCCCTGCATCTGTTCCCCCCTTCTCTTCCTCCTCCTCTCACCTTCCTCTCCTGTCCCCATTTCTCCCACACCCAGAGGGCCTCCGAGGTCTCAATCTCAGCCCCCCACTCCATTTGTCCCCCAGTACTGACCTAGGGCAGGCTCTGCGCACTCCTTGTGCTGCTCAGGAGTACAGAAAGGGGCATCCCCTGCAAAGAAGAGACACAAAGAGAGGTACTCAGGCAGCAACATCTCCCTCCTGGGCTGGGGAAGGGGAGTGCATCCTGCAATCGGGAGGGGTAGCATACCCAGCCGGCATTCAGAAGGGAACCTCCACGTAAGGGAACCACCGATCAGAGCTGCCTGCCGGCAGTTGGGGCCCAGTGTACTCAGAGCCAGGGGATTGGGTCTGCTCTGTTCTGTGAGCTTGGGCAGGCCATAATAGAGTCCGCCTAGCTAACTTCTCCCAGATTGCTGTGCTGGTCCACCCAGCTCAGGTGGGTGATACATGAGAAAGCCTTGGTGGCTGAAAGGAGGGAGGTGGTGGAAAACACCTGCGGCTGGTGCGCATCATTGTCTGTAACTCACATGGGTACCTCCTGCAACAGGAAACCCTGTGTCTGTTTTACCCGTGGGTGCGAGACTTGAGGCTTAAGTATCCTGCCTTCCCAGGACACCAGAGCTAGCAGTGATGACCCTGAGGCCAGGAATCTTTCCAACAGCAGCACTCTGCTTTGAGCAAGGGCTGCTTTGTAAGTCTCCTATTGCTCTGCCCTTAATTGCACACTAGTAACTGAGATGCCAGGAACAGTGTCATGAGTGGAATGATTAAAATCTACTGCTTGCTTTTGGCTCAGGTTCCATGGGGGGAACCTCACTGGCTGCTGACTCGGTCTGAGCATCAGGCAGGTAATATTCAGCTATATTCTCCTCTCTGGTCTCTTGGTAGAAATCCAGAAACCACCCTCGTCCACACCTTTTTTTTTTTCTTTTGCCAAGTGCTAAAGTTAAACCTACCACAATATCCTTTCCTTACTATTTCCCTAAACACCTTTTTCAAGAACTGAGAACTGATATGCTTCCTCCTTTCCTCCTTTCCAACAGTAACAATTTAACTGTTATGTTTCCCTTTTTGCTCTGTCTTCTGGGAGTCTCAGGCAATTTCAAAGATCAGCAATCATCCATTTAGATTACTAGGAAAATTGTTGATTACTGATGAAATAATTCAGAATTTTGCTAGAAGCATGTTCATCTCAGCATTGGTTTTACCAGAAAACAACTGATAATCAACTAAATGTCTGATGTAAGGATTTAGTTAAATAAACCTAAAGTATGATACAACCATGAAATAGTAGCCATGAAATATCATAGCGACGTTCCCAATACATCAGTCAACAGTACTTTTGGTTTCCTTTCCCCATGTGCTAATACAATGACCACTGACTTTTGCACTTTTGCACTTTTATATTTTAGCCTAATTTTATCCTCATAACAACTAATGATTGTGTTTTAAAGATAATGAAGGTAAGAACAGAAAGGTTTAGTAACTTTTGTCAGGTCACACAGAAGGTGAATGGAAGAATTTGAATCAGAAGCCAACGTCCCTGCCTCCAGCCCGTCATTCTTCCTTCTATGCTGCAATACCAAACTCTTCATGCTCGAATCAGCCCTCCCCCCCTCCCACCCTCCATCCCCTGCACTTCTGCTTCTGATTAGCTGACCATCTCTAATGAGATCATCTAATGAGATGGTTACATGCCTTGTTAGTCTGACAACAGAAATGCCAGCACATGCACATTTATTTGCTGGCTGATGGACTTTTGCCTCCTTCAAAAGAGTGCTAGACATTTAGATGCAAGAAGGGAACCATCTGGATGAAAGCAATAGACACCTGGATGTTTGAACAGGTACCATACAAGGATTCAAGAATTGTAAACACTCAGATACCTGGACATTGAACTCTAGGAGGTAAGAGCAGCAAACAATTAGCACACATATTGAGCACTAGGAGGAACGTTCTTCAAACATCTGGACACTTCTGGACACCAGGATGCTGCCTTGGTTGCTAACTGGATGCTTCTATCTGCCCTCTAAGTGTTTGGGACCGAACACTAGCCTTTCCAGAACAGAATCCCTGTGGATCCTCGTGGAGTGGGTACAGTGTTTCCCACTGGGGTGTGAAGTGCAGAGAAGGTCCCAGGCAGTCCCTGGCACTGACCTGGCATGTGGACCATGCGGCAGTTACAGTTCTCCACGATGTAGCGCGTCTCGCAGTCAATCCGACAGGCAGTGATACTGTAAACAGGAAAGAAGTCGAGTCCCATCTCTGAGGATCGGCACTCGCCCCAGGGTGGGGGCAGGTATGTGAGCTGCAAGACAGGAAGGTGGAGGCAGCAGTCAGCCCTGGAGGTTCAGCATCAACAGCCCCAGTATCTCATTCATTCACTTATTCAACCAACAAACAATTATTGAGCATCTCCTACATGACAATTTAACTCCATTGACCTCATAGGCTTTCAGCATTGGGCTCCAATACTAGTTTACCTGTCTTGTAACCTTCCCATAAATGCTGATCTCAGTTTCTTATACATGCCACATGTCTTTCTACTTCCATACTTTGTCATCTCGAGTCCCTTGGAATGACCCAACTAAATTCTACCGTCTTGGCTGAGAACAGTGAGACTCTAGACCTAGACTTGGGGGCCAAAGCCTGCAGGAGGGTCCAGGAAGAAATGGCATAATCAGTGTTATTTATGATCTGTGGCCCAGACTAGAGCAACTCTCCAGTGTCATGCTATGGACTGATTTCTTTGGGGAAAATGTCATTCTTATTTTCAGAGGTCCAATGACCATAGAACACTGTCATGCCTATGGTATGTGCCTGCTGGAGATGGAGAAGGTGAAGGATGAGGGAAACTAACGGCTGTAAGCACTTACTGTGTGTTAAGCCCCAAGCTAATTCCTTTATACCTATCTTTTTAAAAAAATTGAAGAATAAAAAAAGCAATAAAATGCATAAGTCTTCAGAGCACAGTTCAACAAATTCTGAAAAATGTATACACCTGTATACCTACCACTTAAATCAAGACTTGCACTTTTTAAAAAAGATTTATTTACTTGAGAGAGAGAGAGGAAGTTTGAGTGCAGGGGAGGGGCAGAGGGAGAGAGTGTGATTCTCAAGCAGGCTCCCTGCTGAGTGCGGAGCCCTACACAGGGCTTCATCCCAGGACCCTGATATCATGACCTGAGCGACTCAAGAGTCGGCTGCTCAACTGACTGAGGTACCCAGGCCACCCCAAGACCTAAGACACTTTTTTTTTTGTCATCCCACATGTGCTTTATATTATATTTTATTTTTTTAAACATTTTTAACATTTTATTTTATTCTTTAGTTTTTTTATTCTTATGTTAATCCCCATACATTACATCATTAGTTTTAGATGTAGTGTTCCATGATTCATTGTGCATAACACCCAGTGCTCCATGCAGAATGTGCCCTCCTCAATACCCATCACCAGGCTAACCCATCCTCCCACG